GTCGGAATCGGAGATGTGCGCATCAAGATGTTTGATGGTTGTATCCGAACAATCTCCAATGTTCAACATGTACCTGCATTGAAGAAGAGTCTTCTGTCCTTGGGAAAGTTTGACAAGCTTGGAATGAAAATCATAGGGGAGAATCGTTAGCTAAAGGTAGTCAAGGGCATTATGGTTGTGGCAAAGGGTGAACTAGTTGGGAATTTATACAGATTGGTGGGTGAGACTTTAGTGGGAGAAGCTGCTGTTGCAAGTACCAAGTCTGAATCCTCTTCTATTTGGCACAAACGGTTGGGACATATGAGTGATCGTGGGCTTCAGGTACTATCTAATCAAAAACTTCTTCCTGGTTTTAAGACTAACTCATTGGGTTTTTGTAAAGATTGTGTGTTTGGAAAACAACACAGGCTGTCTTTTTCTTTGTCAACAAACAGAAGTCATAAATTCCTTGACTTGATTCATGCTGATACTAGTCAAGTACCTGCTGTTTCTATTGGTGGGTGTTCTTACTTTGTGACATTCATTGATGATTTCTCCCGAAAGGTATGGATTTTCATGCTCAAAAGGAAATCTGATGCTTTTGAAAAATTCAAAAAGTTTAAAGCATTAGTAGAAAATAAAAAAGGCACAAAAATTAAGTGTCTCCGAACTGATAATGGGGGAGAATTTTGTAGCAAGGAGTTTGATGATTTTTGCAGTGAGCATGGTATTAAGAGACATCTTACAGTACCAGGAACACCATAGCAGAATGGGGTTGCTGAGAGAATGAACCGAACTCTCATGGAGCGTGTTAGATGCATGATGAGCACTGCAAAATTGGGGAAGGAATTTTGGGCTGAAGCTGTTAACACTGCATGCTATCTAATCAACCGCTCACCCACTGTTTCTCTCAAGATGAAAAGTCCTGAGGAGGTTTGGTCTGGTAAACCTGCAAATTATTCTTTCCTTCGAATATTTGGATGTGATGCTTATGTTTGGGTGCCTAAGGAGAAAAGAACCAAAGTTGACAAAAATTCAAAAAGATGTATTTTTCTTGGCTATGAGACAGGTACAAAGGGGTACAGATTGTGGGATCCTACTGCCCGCAAGCTTATTATTAGCCGAGATGTGGTTTTTAATGAAGATGTTTTTCAAGGCACAACTAAAAATGAAGAAGCAAGGAAGCTTGTTATTGAGCAAGAAGCTAGTTTTGATGATGCTGTACAGGAGAAAAATATTCAAAATGATCCTCAATCTGAGTCTGAGCCTGAGTCTGAGCTTTTACATGAAGGAACGTCATTTGGTGATGCTGTTTCGCCTCGACCTCGAAGGGCCATTAGACCTCCAACAAGGTATGATGACTATGTTACATCTTTGAAGCCTCAATCTAATTATGTATGTGCTTATCTTGCTTTGTTAGAAGAACATGAGCCAACTTCTTTCAAAGAGGCTTGTGAGTCTGTCAATTCAGACCAATGGCGAGGTGCAATGGAGGAGGAGATGGAGTCTTTGCACAAGAACGAAACTTGGGATCTTGTTCAGCTACTAGAAGGTCGAAAGGCAATTGGATGTCGCTGGATATATAAGTTGAAGAAGGACTCAGAAGGGAATATAGAAAGATACAAAGCCAGACTTGTGATTAAAGGGTATGCCCAAAAACCTGGTATTGATTTTGATGAAGTTTTCTCACCAGTTGTTCGTATGACTACTATTAGAGTTGTTTTAGCTCTTGCTGCT